TATAATTTATGAGTAGCGAATATCGCGCTACATAGATCCTTCTTTAATTTCATGCAACTTGAACCGTTCTTCTTATTTTCTCAATATAAACCGTACTTTGTATGTGTTCCAACATACCGGTCTTCACGCCTCACGTAAAATAGATCGCTTTTCATTCATTTCTTGACAGAGACCTTTTTTCATGTTGTTTTCGATAGCACCTTCTACAGCTCAGATCAGGCGTCGAAATATGGTATATATGCATGTACATGTATAGTACATACAAATTCACAATGGATTATAAATAAGCTAGGCCAGTCCAATTTGAGCTCCGGACACAAAAAAATTCAATCTGAGTTAGACTTTTAACGAGGGATTGTAAAGCGTTGATATGCATCTAAGTGACGCTTATCGACACTTTATAGTTTTAAAATCTTACATCGACTTTTTTTACGTCAATGGCTTTGCGTTTTGGCTCCAGAGCTCAAATTGGACAGACCTGATTTAAGCATTAAAGATCTAGCTTTGACCTTTATTTCCCCATTTCTTATTGGTTTTCACTCGTATATATGGTCCAATAAAGATTCTTATTTTCAAGTATTCATTAGTCGAGTGCAAACATGACATGGCATACAGCGCACTGGTCTATCATACCAGAGATTCCAGGTTTGATCCTGGTAAGAACTAAAATATTTACACTAGTGTCTCCTCTCGGAAAAGATTGGCAACCTCCCGAGAATATCCTTACCCACAGAAACACTTCTCTAAAAATCCATCGTTTGGAACTAGCATTAAAACTATAGGTATATATATATGCTTGTGACAATTGAATAATTAACGTGAGCCCCACAAACATATATATATATATATATATATAAGAAAGGTGTATACAGGCCAGAGGCCTAATATAAAAAGAAAAAGTTTTAATTTTATTTCTTGACTTACTTGAAGTCCAAGGTCATTTCTCGACTACGAATTTCCTCTGTGTCAGCCAGAGTTTGACACTTGGCTGCAATGGCAGATTGAAGCTGATTACTTAAAGATGATAATTCGGTACGCATTCTTTCGATCTCAGTATCCCTTCTTTCCACTTGCAGCTGCAGTGCACTTGCCTCATCTGTGGCTATATCTCTTTGTCTACGTAATTCACTATTTTCCTTCTCCAATCTACAATTCATTTAATAATTGCCATTAAAATATTACAAATGATTTTTTCAATAAACAATCAAATATTAGAATTGTGTATAACATTACCGTTTGACAGATTCCTGTAATCTGTGTACTTCTATTTTCACTTCCTCAAGATTGCTACAAATTTCTATATTGGTCTTTTCCGTGAGCTCTAACTTCCCTTTATATTCTTCAAGATCCAACTTCTGTTCTGCAAGTTCTTTCTGCGCCTTCTCCAAATTTTGCTCTGTAAATCAAGATGTTACATAAAGTTCCTGTCATTCATTTAATCACACAAGTCTTTATTTTAGATAAATTTTAGTATTGCCAGAGGTTATTTGCTATCGATATTTATAAAATTAAACAAATTTAAAATATTTTCAATAAATAATGAAAGCATTAATAGAAAAAAAAAACTTAAATTTTAAAAAAGAAATTAAAATTATTGAAGTTTCTGGAATAGACATATAAAAACATTTGTTCCCGAAATATTCGGAAGTGTGACCTTCAAACCGGCGTCCAACTTACCCAAGCATTTTCGGTTCGTCTCGAAAACCGCCTTGGCGGTAATGAACTCCTCAAATCTGTTATTAAAATGTACATTGATCTTTCTCACTAATTCTCTCGGGATTTGTGTTAGCTCCTCGTCGTTCGCAATCTCAAGAAGAACGTTATGATCGCTCTCCTCGACCACTTCCATGTTGTTCGAATTGTTTATAATCGATAGTGAATCAATCGGACTATATAACTAGAATTCTCACACTCCAAGATTAAAATATGGAATCTTCTCCAGCGGGCACCATATTTGCGTCTCTATACTACTGACGGTTATCACGTTTCTACAATAAACGGCATTCACCTTTTCTAACCACTTCGTCGTTACTTTATCGTCACGATCGTCAATGGCTTAGTTTCCACCAAGGATTTAATCCGGATCAGAATGTAAGAATCAACCAACTACAGTCGAGCATTCCCCTGTCGTTAAACTGTAACAGGGAAATACTCGATTGTAATTCGTTGGTTCTTACATTCTAATCCGGTTTAAACCCTCGATGGAAACCAAGCCAATCATTATGGAATACTGGAAATTGGAATGGTGGAATTGAAGCAATGCGCATGATGGAGATGGAGATGGGCGAATTTCGACCAATCAGACGCCAGCGGCACTGACGGCACCTTTGACTATATACCTCTGGACTGCTAGTTACCCCCACTTTTCCTACCTTTTCCATAAGATAG